TTTGTCATTTTGGGTGAAAAGTGATATTTTCGACTTCTGTTAAAACCGCAAGTCCAATTGCTTTGATACTACATAATATAGGTACTACATGTGGACCTCTCTCAGATTTGTTTATTTCGTGATGATATCTTCAATTCTCTAATTTTGGTGAATATTTTTGTCATTTTTGGTAAAAAGTGATATTTTTGACTTCTTGTTAAAAACCGCAAGTTTGATTGCTTTGATATTACATATATAGGTACTACATGTGGACCTCTCTCAGATTTGTTCATTTTGTGATGATATCTTCAATTCTCTAATTTTGGTGAATATTTTTGTCATTTTTGGTAAAAAGTGATATTTTCGACTTCTTGTTGAAAACTGTAAGTCCGATTGCTTTGATATTACATATATAGGTACTACATGTGGACCTCTCTCAGATTTGTTCGTTTTGTGATGATATCTTCAATTCTCTAATTAATTTATTTTGGTGAATATTTTTGTAATTTTTGGTAAAAAGTGATATTTTCGACTTCTTGTTAAAAACTGTAAGTCCGATTGCTTTGATACTATTCATATTGTTCATTTTCTAATGATGTCTTCACTTCTTTAATTGAAATGTGCATTGCTAACAGCGGAGCTATCTCAGCCGATAGGCTGCTTGTTTTTAAATGTTTCTGTGCCTGGCAACAGTTCTGAACATTGAATGTCACTGCTGTCTCTCCTGACTTTTTTTTGTATGTGCGAGTTGCAACTGCTGACATATAGTGCATTTTTGCCACAGCAGCCATATTCATGTTTTTTACTACAACATGACAAGGCTGTGCGGCCATCTCTCTATCAAATGGCAATTTAATACGCTATCATGGCGTCAACCAGGCTCTGTCAAACACAAGCACCTGCGGACCTTAACCAAGGTTCCCCAAAGTCACATTCGTTAGTGAATGAATCTCGGCCAGTGGAATTGGCCTTCCCATTGAGTCTGTGGCACACTCATCCAGGTAGGGGTTGACCGTTTTGGTGTTCAACCTAAGGTAGGATTTGAACTTGGGTCTATCATATGCAATAACCACAATTCTACCAGTGATCGGTGCGTGAACTCTACATCTGTGTAGTATACACATACAAGCTACAAAAGGGTGCCTCTACATGGTAGTTGTGCTTGGAAAAGTAAAGTGCATATTCATCAATATGCCCTCAGCTACACAGTGGTTAGACAGAAAAAATAAATTATTTGTCTCTGTTTACTTCAGTTCAAAAGAAATTGCACTCACAAATATTTTTTACTATATTTCTGCCAAATTACTTCAAAAATTGAAGAAAAATGACAACACAAAATCAGATAAAAATGGGCATCACCACATCATTTATTGGAACATTTCAAGACAAGAAAGCTTTGATTTCTTCAGCAAACTACACACTCAACAGTATAAATTAGAGTGTACAATCCTCCTAAAACCACCAGATATGCGGTGAGGGAGAATGGTGTCCTACTTGATGGAAGAGTCACATGTGCTGTTCCTGACTTCTATGAACATTTAATAACCCTGACATCTTTATCTTAAAGTGTAGTGGATTTACAGTGGGATGACAGTTCTTTTCTCTCATGTCAGCCCATATATTAGCTGAAACTTCTAGATTTTGCGATTTCAGGCTCTTTGATATGATTATGAATAATGAATGAATGAATGAATAAAAAGACTGATAAATATTATATACAGTAATTAGTAATCATTGTTCTTACTATTGACATTTCTAGCAATGGATCAGTAGTAATAGCACATAAAAACATTGAATATACATGTATCATAAAATCTGTATTAGAAACTGCATCTCTAATAGAAGTCACACCCATTCTCTTTTTGAATAATTGAGAATCAAAAATTCATCATTTCTCATAAATGTAGATGCTCTAATAGAAGCCGCATCCATTCTGTTGCATTGTACCATTTTAATAGAAGTCATAGCTTCTAATACAGATTTGACAGTAACCCAATTTGGTAAGGGCTGTAATAATGGCATCTAAATTTCTACCAAATTGAGCACTACAATTTTATCCTCTGTAAAAGAAAGACTGTCTTACATGAGCTCGACTTTCTCAGAGAAATTTACAAAGTTGCTCAGTACTATATTTGCTTATAAGGAATACTGATGGTTGACTTTAATTAGTCCCCGTTCGGACGCAGTCCGAAAACGGGAACTTATGTTTTGCCCTGTGTGCGTCCGTCCGTCCGTCCGTCCGTGCGTCCGTGCTTCCGTGCGTCCGTGCGTCCGTGATCACCTGTATCTCGAACATGCATGGACCGATTGAGTTCAAACTTCACTCATACATCACACATTATATGGGACATATGCACATGCATTTTTTTCATGATCCGATTAACGATAGTCGAATAGCGGCCATTTTAAGGCCGAAAATGCATCAAAATCGCACATTTTCACCATTCCGGACCCGGATCTCAGTTATGCATGGACGGATTTCATTCAAATTTGGTACATACATTAAACATAATAGGACCTTGATGCACGTCATTTTTTTTTTCGGATCAAGTTCGAAATAGCCGACTGGCGGCCATTTTGTTTTAAAGAATTCAGTTCTGGATCCGTATCCGAGACATGTCTGGATTGATCAAGTTCAAACTTCACACACACAAGGTACATCATGTCACAAATATGTATGTGCATTTGTTTCATGATCTCATTAACGATAGCCAAATGGCGGCCGCTTTAAGGCCGAAAATGCATTGAAATCGCACATTTTCACCATTCCGGACCCGGATCTCAGTTATGCATGGACGG